GCACCCCTAGTGCTGAGTGTGCTGGAGCTCAGGCAGTAGCACCCAGGTCAGGAGTGCTGAGAGTGCTGGAGGTGAACACAGTACATTTAGGGAATAAGGTCAGTGGTGACCAAAACTGTAAATATCAACATTCCACTCAAAGAGACATAGTATGACAACAGAATAAATACTCACACAATACTGTAGTCTTTTAAATAAGGTTAAACGAACTCCACTGTAGAAAATAAAGAAATAATGTCCGCTACTGGTATCAGCTGAAACTCAAGGTTTCATTGTCAGTATAGGAACAGAAAATGTGGTACTGACCACTTCTAAATACATTAAGGGTAGAAAACACTGATAAGAATAAATGGTTAATTTCTTTTAGATCTGAACACGTACCTTGTCTTTGAACTCTCCATTAAAAGCAAACTGGTTTTCGGGCTTTCCGTCTGGCACCTTGTACCGTCTAAACCAGTCCACAGTGGCTTCAAGGTAGCCTGGTTTAAGTCGCTGAACATCACTAATATCTAAAATGCAGATCATGAATCAAATGAGAATGATTACACATTAATGAAACCAGGGTGGAAGAGCAGGAAACTCAGCAACTTATTACCATTCAAGTCCTTTGCTTCTGGGTCATCAACATTGATTGCAATAACCTTCCAGTCAGTTTCGCCTTCATCAATCATCGCCAGAACACCCAGGACTTTCACTTTGATAATGTCTCCTCGGGAGCACACCTTAAAAGTCACATCCAAAACAAGATGCACATGCATGGAGAAAGAGGCATGCTATATGTGGTTTACTTAAAAACATTAACAACAACAAAACAAACAAACTAACAAACAAAATACATAGATACCTTGCTACCGATTTCACAGACATCAATTGGGTCATTGTCACCACAACATCCTGTATCACAGTCTGTGTGGCCAGGGTCTTCCCATGTCTGTCAGGGGTAAATGTTGTTTAGTGGATACAGAGACAGTGTTCACATAATTGTCCATAAGGTAAGTGATAACTGTCAAAAGGTACAACCTGTTGTATTTAAACCTTCTAATAATTCTAAATTATGTCACAGCAGTTCTCCCTGCATTCAAACTGGGGGAGGTGTAAGCACAGTGGTTAGGAGCATCAGGCTCCCATCTAAAATCTCCAAACACAACCAAATACACATACCCAGACACTGTGCACAGATATCTACTTCTCTGCACATCAAAAAATGTCTGTAGATTTATCTCAGCTGTACCTATTTACATACAGTTAGGGGAAACAAGTACTTTTCCAATGAAATTCAAGTCAGGAGATGGGCTAGGCCATGTAAGCACCTATATGTTTTCAAAAACAGTCTTGACTTATTTTGGTCGTACGTTTGGGATCGTTGTCTTGTTTGAAAGTCCATCTTCTTCCCTTTTTGGCTGATAAGATTAAATTCTCTTTTACTACATCCTGGTACAGGAGTCCATTCATGTTTCCCTTGGTGACGTGTTATGCCCCACTATTGTTTGCAGAGAGGCAGCCCCATATAATGATGCTTCTACCTCCAGACTTTATTGTATTGTGTCCTTGGGATCATATGTGCAGCCCTTCTTTCTTCAAACACAATGAGCTAAATTATTGCTAAAGAGTTCTATTTTTGTTTTGTCTGATCAGATTACATTGTTCCAAAAGAGTTTTGGAAAAGTGGTTTGCCTAAATTTTAGACAAAAAATAAGGTTTTTATTTGCCTTACCTGAGGGATTGCACCATAGTTCCAGATGTAGCCTCTGTGTGGGAAAACATTTGCCACATAGCGCAAATTGCCCTTCTTCACATCCTGCTTTATTGGGTTGAGAGGGTCTTTTGTGGCAATCTGAAAAGTAAGCAATTATTATTCTAATAAGAGGGAAGACACTGTTGTTAGTTAAAGTCAGTATTTAGCTAATTACTACTGCACCCATTTATTTGTGCAGCACATGCATGTGCAGTCACAAAATGAGGAGACAGCCACATGAGTTCAAATCTGCAGATTAAATTACATGTTATGGAATTCTGATTAATCATGATTGGTCATACCTCCATTTTTGCATTTGTCCATCGTGGTACTTCAACAACCATGTGGAAAATGTTCTGTGGATTGAATTACATTCCAAGTCATTCCTGTACAATATCTAATTATGGCTACAGATTATTCCGTTAATTTAAGTCACTGGGGATTTAGATAATATTTAGTCTCATACGTTAATAACTAACATAACATATGGCATTCAATGAGAAAATGACAACATCCTATCAGAAGAAAACAAAAAAAGAAGATAAGAATAAATGAAGCGTAAATGTTCAACACTGTGTTAGAAGGGTAAAGTTCCTGCACTCGTTGCACAAACAGTAATAAATGGCAGACACTGTAAGCTTGTGAAATGACTACTGATTACCCAAGAAATCTCATGGGAGATAAACTATTAATATTGTTGGAAAATAAGCTTAAAAAGAAACATCGAAAAGATATAAGATAAAAAGAAAAGAACTCCCAGTCAGTTGGACTAGCATTAATACCTGGGCTTCATCTGCAAACATAGGTATGTCATGGAATGGTGAAATGTATTTTCCATCCGAGTTTTCTGTTTAGAAAGAGAATCAACAAAAATGTCTTTCACTGACATGGAAAGGTATATAACACATCCAATCTGACACTAAATCAAACTTCACAATAACTATGTTATGGGCAGAACTGAGCGTGTATTTGTAAAGAAAGAAATGTGAACGAATAAAACACACATTGCGCTTTAATCCCTTTTATGACCAGGTCAGCATTGCTGTTGCTCAGGCCCCTTATTAGGGGTCCACAGAGAACTCAGTACGTTTCTGACCTGATATTTTTCTACTCCCACTCTCAAGTTGTTTTCAGTAGGCAACACTGTTTAAGCTTTTGACTGAGAAAAAATATTACTTAGGTGTATTGTTTTCAGCTAATCTTCCTCAGATTACGATCCTTTTTAGTGACGTAAAGAAAGGCCCAAACTGCACCACAGAGCTGCCCTTACTCCAGTTTAAATGAATCAGTCCCACTGCACTGCATTAATATTATTCAAATATTAAGAACTAATAAGCTTGTTTACATCTGTCAGTCTTTAAATAGCTACACTAACATTATATTGCTGTCCTGTTATTCGACTCCATATGAAATCCTGATGAATCATGCCCTTCCTTACTCTCTCTTTCTTCATATGATGTCCTCCATATGAAGATTCCAAGAATTGATTTATCCTGAAGGCAAGTAGTTAAACATAAAACATGTAAAATATACAATACACCTAGTAATCTCATAGCTACTCTTACAGAATAATTCATTAATTTAAGCGGCGTTTTCTTATTGGATGAGGGTACAACAACTCACCCATGCAGTGTATGAGCGCTCACTGCTGAGTCTTTCCAGTCACCTAGTCGCTCTCTATCACCTATTGGCATACAGCCGTTTAAAACACTGTCAGCATTTACAGATATAAAATATTGATTATCAGCACTAGCCTAGATGTTTCACAATGAGGGCATACATATCTGATTTCTTAGAGCTAAAAAAGAAAAAACGAATACAATGAGTTTATTAGGAGGTACTCTATACTGTATCCTGCACCCTGAGAGGTCTGCAGACGCTGAATGACAAGCAGTTGCCCCACTGCAGCTACATACGCCATCTCTCCCACCTATTGTGCCTGTCTGTCTGTCCTGCTGCCGATATCGATTTCAATGAGTTCTCTGCCCTCTTTGTACAGCCTCTATTGAATAATCCTGAAAGGCCTGCATAAGACTGAAATCTTAGAAGTTTCCGCCTTCAATGACGAAGCTCATACATAACAAAAAGTAACCCAGATAATGGAAGTTTCATCAGCCAAAATTAAAATGTAATCACAAAAAATATATTTACTCGTTCAAAACACTATTAACCACGGAATATAACATTAGAAATGCTATAATAAATCTACTGTAATGTTATGCGGCAATACATCCCACTTAAACCTGGCTAAGGCGGCAGCTAGCTAATGAATGCGACACGTGGGAGTATACGGCGCAGAGTCATGCAAACACCGCCTTCGCTACACAAAGTTCAGGACTTAAAACAAAAAAAATAATTGTCCCACTCACTGTAAAACACCCTATAACTCAGAGTATTAGGGTTTCCTCTTTCCTCAATTGTGAAGCTCATGGTGGCTGGAAACCTGTCTCCGAGAAACTCGCGGCGAAAGACAGAGCGATTCAGTGACGTGTGAAGAGTGAGGACTTCAAAACAGACATGCGCACTTGAAGGTAACATCCCAATTCGGAAAAATAAGGCCTACTTCACTTCCCCTAGACACTTCCACAAGGGATAATCCCAGTTGACGGGAGGTGCATCGTTTTCATTACATATTTGCTGTATGTAATGGAATAGGAGAAGTAGTGTAGGCTTATATTTGCTAAACCTTCTGCTGCAAAGGCTGCACTCGGGGCGGGGTGGATTGGGGAAGAAGCCCACCTTAAGAACTATGCCTAAAAACTGTAAAGCTAAGCTAAACCATGAGTTTAGCATATACAGGACATAACACACAATGAGGGAAAATCAAGCATAACATCTTGCCCCACCTACCGGAGGAAAGAACGCCCCCCACTGGAGAATATTGCATCATTTTTTGCAGGTAATTTTTCATAATGTATCAATTATATGCTTTATCACTTTAAACTGTGGATTTACTAAGTATGTAACTGTGTCTAGCTGTTAAACACATCTCCAGCAAGATTAAAAATAGTAACTTATTCTATCCAACAATTTCATGTAATTCTAATGCAAGAATGTAAACAGGTGAAACTACTTAGAACAACTTTGGGGACTTATGATGAAAAGTAAACATTCTGAATGCTTATAATCCCTATTACAGTACAGGCTATTTGCACGAGTCTTAATCAAAAGTGCACAGATGAGTCGAAATGGAAAGCGCCCCTCTGAACACGTGCTCAGCTCCAGCTCTGAGCTCATATCCCGCGGAGCCGCTTTGCTTCCTGCCTGGCGGAGGGAGGGACGGTGCTGACGGCTGGGAGGACAAGTCGAACGACAAGAAAGCCTTGGAAAGAGACAGAAAGAGGGGAAAAGGGCCCGGGGTTCCACCTTCCATCGGGGTACAACTTTAGTTCGACACTGCTGGGTGCCCGAATCTAATGCCATGTCGTCCAGTCGTCAGCATAGTGAAAGCAGGGCCATTCCGACCAGGACGGTGCTGATCAACGACTCAACGCAGCTACCTCACGACTATTGCACCACTCCGGGAGGCACTTTATTTTCAACTACCCCGGGAGGTAATGACGTTTAACGCGCTCTGTTCGTGTCCCGACGATGTCTGCAAGCAGACGTTTGTCGCTTGCATCCATCAGCTGGGTGCTGGAGTGTGGCCTAGCTTTGTCAGGAAGCCTTGCGTGTTCAAAACAAAAACAAGCTCTCGCACCGCCTCTGCTTTCGCTTTAAATAACGCGATTGGCTCGTTTGCAGCGCAGTGATTGACAGTCATGACGGTAACAGTATAGATAACAAAGGGAAGGGTCGTGTGTTGGATGACAGTAGTTGTGTAATATGTAGCTTTGTACTTCCAGCTAGCACCAGCAGTTGGCCCACAATGCTATGCAGCCGTGACAGTACATCACATATAAACACAAATTATTATGTTTTCATTGTGTACATTTTAGCAACAAGCATAAATCACATTATTTGACTGAAAGTATGTAGTAATGTCTGTGCATTTATTGTGTTTTGAAATGAATGAGTACGGTAGTCAGCATTTGTATACATCGTTCATAGTTGGAAAGGATGACTCTATACTGTGAAGAAGGGTAATGTGCTTGGTATGTGAAAACTGGGTGGCTATTTGTTTGTATTAATCCATTTATCTTGTCTGTAGGCACCCGGATTATCTATGACCGTAAATTCCTGTTAGACCGGCGTAATTCCCCTATTGCCCAGACTCCTCCAGCACACCTGCCTGTCATCCCTGGAGTGACTAGCCAAAACGTCCTGAATGAAAACAAGAAGAACGAAGCCAATAACTTCAATAACCATGACGGGAAGCCAGGACCAGGTTTGTCTTTTCATCAAGTTTGATGCATCTCTCACAGATTACCACATTTTTGTGCATTTACACTAGTTCTTGAGTAAAACGGACCATTCTATGTTCTGTGTCAGTTTGCAACAATAGTAATGTAACTAAAATCTTTCCCTGCATTGCTTGTTACAGGTGAGGACGCTCAGTTTGAGATGGACATCTAAAGAAGAGGAACCAACATGATGAACGAATAATAACCTGGCACCTATGTGCCAGTGGCTTGGCTTGTAGAAACCAATGTTGTGAGCCCTCTCCTTTAGCTCTCTCTAGCTGCTGGGTGCTAAGTAACCATGGGGATAGTTGACACATGCTGGCCCAATGGGCTGCTGGAGCCCTGAAAGTTAATGAATGATTCTGATCTGTTTGATTAGGTTTCAGGGCTGCCAGCAGCTATACTTGCTTAAGCCACACAGCAAGAGAAAAAAGTCTGTATTTTAAGTGCCCAAATACAACGATTTATTGAAACGGATTCACTTTGCAAAACAGCCTTCAGAGATTTATGCATGGTAATTTAGAATTGTTTTCAGAGTTCACTTTTCGGTTAGATACCCTCTAAGGACCCAAAATGCTTTACTTTGTACAACTGTAACTTGAGTCTGTGTCGGTCACTCAGATATCTACTCATCAGTACACATGCACTATTCTGTTGCCTCCTTGTTATCATCCTTTTCGGTTTATTTTTAGTCTGTAAAATTTCTAGTAAAGTTAACTAGGGACAGCAGGATTTACATTCTACATTTTGCCTCAAATTTGGAGAGTTCCATTTTCATTCCAAGCCTTTTATATTACTCAGACATCCATACGTGATGTCTGTTTTGTTCACAAGTCAAGTTTAGTGTGGGGCAAATAGTTTTATAAACATACCTAACCCCGGACCTTCAGTAAAGATTTGAGTTGCTCAGAATTCTACCAAAACGATACACAAATTCTTTTTTCCTACATAAAACTACCCTATATCGATCATCCACGATTCTTTCTCGTTTTCTTGCTTTCATGCAAAAATTTGTCAAAAGGATGATTTAAAAAAATGGTTGACCAGATTGTCTTTAGCTAGTGAGAATGTGTTGAAATATCTGATTCATCCTGCTAGCAATACGGTTTGTCCCTACCTTTGAATTGTGAGTGAATCCTGATGATACTTGAAGCATCACCATCAGCTTTGTGGTCACTGAGTCTGATAGACAAGAAATACTGTACTACAGGTGACCCAGAATGAGTTGTTGGTCAAAGGTAATGACAACATGCACAGTTTTGGACTGACTGAAGGGTTGAATATGCTTTATAAATGAGTAATGTGTAGAAAGGTTCCCAGAACCAGAGCTGGTCTCAAGATGCACGTACATCATGTACCTAACATATACATTACTTCTAGCGTTTTTTACAGGTGAAATTACAGGGATTTATGAAACGTTAATACCAGTTGTGACGTCTACTGTCACGTTCAGACTGCTACCATATTAGCAAACCCTCATCACCGCATCAAAGGTAGGAAAGCACTGAAGTGTTGTCAGGTCATTTATCCTACTTTTATCTGTCATTGATAATGCTGCTCTGAAATTTGTGATCAAGCAGCATTTGAGAAGATGGATAGTTTTGCCATGACTTGACATTCATTTTTTGATAGATCAAAGGTTTTGAAGCTTGAATTGAACATTTCCAATGCTCCTCTATGCATATGGTTTTGAGTTTCTTATCCTGAGCTCAGATGTCAGCATTAGAAAATGTCATATTTCTGTGAAGTTCCTCATTTCTGTTTCATGCCTCCTCATGGCAAATGGAGAAGGTTTCAGATTTTCACAAGAGATTGTCCTTATAAAGTGGCTTAAAAGAGAATACAACTCATTCTCTGCTTTACACCTTCTGTGCTGAAATCATTCTTTTGTCTGTTTTCTTTTTCTCATGTTGATCTCTTGTGCTAAGTCTCTTTACCCATGCCTTACTTTACTAAGCTTAGCAGCTGTGACTTAAACAAGTTTCCTTTCCCCAATATTCTGACAGGTGTTTCTTTTCCCTGTTGTGGATTTAAGATCAAGATTGTTTGTTTTAAGAGAATACATTAATATTTTTTGGAGACATGTTTTTTTTTTCCCCCTTTGGAGGTGGAAAGGTTTGGGCTTGCAACAGTGTAATGGATGTAACATGATCAGTGATTTGATCAACAAAAAGAAATTTGGATTTGATGGCTCACGGTTTACATTTCTGTTAAACTCTGATTAGTCAGGTTTCCCAACTTATTGTTTTCATTTTAGATCTGTGAATACACATTTTAAATCTAACTTTCACCTCTGGTTTAAATGATTTGAATTGGGAAAGAGGAAAAAAACGTCCAAAATCAGGAGAAATGCTCATGAAAGCAAAGGGAAGCATCTTTGCTCATTGTACTGCTGTAGACTGTCGTGAGCTGTCAAATCCCGCAGTGTCTTTTCAACCCCTTAAAAACAAGTGTCATATTTTTAACTGACTGGAACCATTAGAATTCAAACATGCCCCATCAGACAAGTTTATACCTGAGCAGGGGCTTTTCTAGGTTAAACTGGTATAATATTGCCTGTAAAAAGTTAACAAAAAATGTTTTTTGTTCTGAATTTGAGACCCTGTTAAATTGACTTTAATTTGAATAAGATGCCAATGCCAGTTGACACTATTACAGCAAAATCAATAAAAGTTCCTTAATAATATCTCTTTTTGTTTCTGCTGGTCAATGCTCATGTTGGGCTCTGGATGAAATTCTCCAATTCCTGATCATGAAGGTTTAGTTACCTCATATTACCACTAGATGGAGTGACAGACAGCAAAGTAAATACTAAAGTCCAGCATTAGGAGAGCACACTTCAGTGCCTTAAAGCTACATTTACTCATGGAATTGGAGCAAATCTGACAGCCCTGTGCCATGTTTAATACAACTCATAATATATGTCACCATTTATATTCAGGACTTTAAGATCACTTGTTAAATGACGGGTAGACTCAATATTTGTGGAGATTGTCATGAATTTTGACAGTCACAATGTGAAAGAGAGAAAGTAAACCCTTCTGGAGCTTTTTAAATTTTTCCTTTCTGGCTTTTCCAGCTAGAGGAGATTAGTATTGATGAAACTACAGTATATGAAGGACTCTCGAGGAGTGCTTGGTTGCTTGGAAACCCATGGCAACACACTGTCCATGGCAGACCAGCAGGCAGTTCAAGCTGAGGGTGTTCTTTATCAACGCAGTGAAAGGCGCCACCTCTTAAAAAGACTTTATTTAACTGAGACAAAAAGCTCTGGAAGAAACTGGCAGTAAAACTAAAGCCTTTTGTTCATGTGCACAAAAGTGACATTAGCACAATTTTCCATTCACTAACCAAAGAAACTGCAGTGATTATTTTGCACAGTGTTTGGTTGTTTACTTAATCACTAGCTCTACTGTAGATTAGGGCTGGAACAGCAGTTATAACGAGGCTTTACTGTTGTTTGGATGAGGATTGCAAGATAGTGCATGAAATGTTAAATGTAACATCATAATTGTGCTCCCTAAGTTTTTCTGAATCAAAATAAGGCCACCAATACTATATCTATTTGATTCTGCATGGAGCTGTGGCCAGCTTTATCAGCAGTGCTGCTGGCTATCAGACAGCCACCATCATGAGGTCCTATGGTTCTATGCTTTTATTAAATAATGGCAAGCTGAGTCATCTCTTCGTCATCCAGGAGTACTGACAGCCTAGCTTTCTGTCATACAAGGCCCTCTTAATGCAAGTTTTTGTTGGCGCCTCTTTGCTTTCACTGTAAATCCAATCCACTCTCTGTGTTCCCACATTAAAGTATGTTCTTGGGTGGGCACTGTGTTTCCAGGAGATAGAGCTGCTGATTGGTCAGAGCTTGTGACAAGAGTCCACCTCCACATCCTCCTCTCATATCTGCACTCATTGTAAGTTGAGAGGCAGGCCGGATAAGTGCCCACTCCCCCTGCTCTCTCTCTCTCTCTATGTGCTCTTTCCTCTCTCTGTGTAAACCAACCTTGGCCACATTACTTAAGGATGTTGGGACTTGTCCATTTAGACTGCCCAGTAGCAATGACACCTGACTGCACAACGGAGGACCAGAGAGAGGGTCGTTTCTGAAAGGACTCAAGATGCGAGACACCTCAAACTTGTGTGCTTCATTCTCCTCCACCGGTCAGCACAGAGGATCGCAAAGGTATATAAGTGAATAAGTGACTAGGTGAGGAATCCGTTTTATAATATTTACTTTACCTACCATGTAGACTAATATACTGTTGTCTAGTGCTAAGAACACATAATGGGTAAAAGACTTGATTTAGCATGCAGGCCTTTTCCACATGAAATTGGTTAGCTTAGAGTACAAATGTATGTGTTGTGACATACATAATTCCACTCTGTGACATTAGTGTATAGAAATGGCATGCAAATGTGGTTGTAGCTGGGATGTGTAATGCCTTGCCATTGGCTGTGTTGGATTATGAGCATATTAACACAACTGCTTTTGCACAAAGGAGCCTATGTTTACTAGTGTTTGTTTATTAAGGACACTTTTTTTTACAATGCTTGTTGACAGCACCTTTGCTTTGGCCCAGTGTACCCTGGCTTGTAGTACTTCACATGCTGGGAAGTAGAAAGTAACAATACACATCTTGTGGAACAGCTTGCTTGTAAATAATGATCTCCTGATGAAGTGACCTGTGATTTTTTTTTTCTTTTTTAATAATGCTAGAATGTTTAAAATCTAATATTTAAAATCTAATATTTAAAATCCATTGCAGTGGTGCACTTATACAGGACGGAGAAGGAAAAAACATTTTTGGAGGGAAATTCCACTGATTTTTCAAAATTCTGGCATAATTCAGTCATTGAAATGAGAACAAAGTCATTCAGAGTGGTTTAATGTGAAATGGTTCACTGTAGAGAAACTGAACAACTCTGATTTTCTTTACGGAAGTGGTGATAGGAACTAGAGGTCGTAATGTCCATCACACAAATTTAGCCATTTTTTTACTATCCAAAACAACCAAAGCATCTACATGTCTCCTGTGTTTTTATAAGTAATATTGATAATGATAAAATAGTGGTAAATCTGCAAAAGTAAGTTTTCTTTGGGTACTATTTTTACCTACAACACCATGCATGTACTGCTCTGCCATGAAAATATTAAAAATATTAACTTTAAGCCAAAAACCCTGTCTCAAAACTATCGTAAAACAATGTCTGAGGCAATGTATCTGTGAACGTTTTACATAATAACTTTCTGTACGGAAGCTTTTAGAGGCCTTAAACTCTTCAGATGTCTGGTTCCTATCACCACCACTGTGAACAAATTTGAGAGTAAGTTTCTCTAGAACATTGCATTTCATTTCAAAACATTCTGAACAACTTTGCTTGATCTTAATGACTTAATTACACAGGGATTTTGTAAAAAAAAAATGGTGGAATTTCCCTTTAGCTTGTAATATACATTAATGTAAAAAGATTTTTATTTTAAGTAATTTAAGAGAATTTTGGTACACAATATAAAAGGCTTTTTTTTTTTAAAAAAAAATGCTGATTTCAAATCATGTTAAAAAAGGAGTTATAAGGTTATGATGATGAAATTATTTGACAGTTTGCCCTCCATACTTTCGGGAATTAGAAGAGTATTTGAGTGGTTTTCAATGAAAACCAGGACAGTAAATAATTCTTAAATACTCCATACCCTTGTTTGAATAAGGATATGTCAATCAGTACCGCCCCCTCCCCGACCCCCAAGGCTCTTTGCTGCTCATATCCTTCCTCCTATCTGCGTGACATCGAACAAAAGCATCCTGGGGCTTTTCCTGGCCATATTTAGAGATTTTTCTTCTTTGCTATTTTTTCACTTCACTGTGACACAACTGGAATTTAGATCAAGCCCCCTGAAAAGGGCAGCATTGCACTTGATGCCAAGGATACAGTCTCCAGACCTTGAATAGACCAGTGTGCTGAACAAATGTACAAAAATGGCATGGAAATATACACTGGGATACACATGTATTTTTCATATCTATTCATTAGCCTTAGCCTTATAATTATAACCTATGTGGAAAAATTTCTTTGCAAGATCCCAGTGGATCTCAGATGATATACAAGCGCTTCAAGGCTGGGCGAAGCCATGAATAGTTATGTCACAAATTTCACTTTGTTCCTGTGTTGTCCTGCTTGTTTTTGGCACTCGGTGATGTTTGAGTGATGGTGTGTGAGAGTTTGCGTTCTGATTCTGCTCCATGAGAGAGGCTGTCCTGTGAATGTCTGGAGCCGCCCACCCAGCCGTCTGGCTGCCAGATGTACAGTATTTCTCCCTTGCCCCCCTCAAGAGCTGCTATTTCAACTCTGCCACTGTGAGAAACGAAGAAGAAAGCCAGACGACAAAAACGTGTGGCCTTTTGTCTTTTACTGTTCGGAAAATAAGGTTTAACATGTTTAGAGGAAACTTCTAGCAACAGAAAAAGAACTCTGAGAAGTTTGTTCTGACTGGATCAAATCCAAGCTTTCACAAAAACTCGAAGATGTCTGAAGCAAAGAAGCAAAGAGCAAAGGATATGAGCACAAGCAGCACAGCTGTCAGACCGTGAGACATTTCTTTTAAAATCAAACAATAGGTGGATTTACACTGAGAAAATGTAGTTTTTACATGTAAAAGTTCTTCTGTGTCTTTATTGTGGTTTCATGGCAGAAAAGAGACACTCTAGGAAACAATTTCTCTTTTTGGAAGATTGAAACTGAGTTTGTTCATTGTCATGTGTGTTTTTATGTGTGAGGTTATTGAGTTTTATGGTAAATAAAAGCATCTTTTAAAAATGCTTAATGCGGCCCAGAGACTGCATGTGTATGTTAATGTTCTCTCCAGTGAAAATCCTTCAGTGTGTGGTCTCGTTGCAGTTCTGCTTGGATTATGGGTACTACTGCCAGTGCAGGGTCCCAGCCTGCGTTGGTGGCACCTACGCACCAAACCGGTCACCAGGGTAACAGCATGGCTGAAGACAGGAGCTCGCTGAGCAGCGGCTCCCTGCAGGGCGCTGAACATTCCTAACAGCAAGGCCAAGTCCATCATCACCAACAAGGTGGCCCCTGTGGTCATCACGTAAGTATTAGTCTCAAAATTACTGCCCAGTACAATGCCTTAATTCTGTACTTCTGCTCATATCTTCACTAGAATGTCACTCTCACATTCTACACTTTTACTGAATCATCATGTACAGCCAGAGTAGCTGAGCTGTTTATTCAATCTGTGTTCAATCTGAATTCTTCTCAGTCTACCTTGGGACCAGCACACTGTCGCAGCATAATTCATGTAAAAACATTAGAAACTCTGGCTTTGCTTGAGCTGAAACTTGTTTAACAAACTTGTTTAACTTTTTGGCAGGTATAACTGTAGGGAGGAGTTTCAGATTCATGACAGTGTCTTGTCAGCCAACTATACAGTGGGAAAAATATCTGATACAATGCCGGAGCATTATCTAGTGCTGGTAAGCATGTCTTTATGAAGCTAGTTTATCAAATGCTCTTTAAAAAGAAAGAGCTCTTATGAAGCACAGGTAATAATAGCACCCCCTTCAGCCTGCTGTGAGTGAGTGAGTGAGCGGGAAATCAAGTCCATGAGGTGCTTTGCATGTAAAAAAAAAAAATCAGCTGTTTTGTATCTCTTCAGGTTGTATCTGTAAGGGAAGCCTACACTGTTAAGAAGAAGCCTTACACAGAAGTTCTGTAAATAATCACTTGCCACAGAAAGGTTTTCTAAACCACACCTCAAAATAGGTTCAGATAAGACAAGACTAAGATTTTTTCAGAATAAAAAAAAATGAAATTCATTACTGTTTATTATACATGATATACTAATAACTAGTATCATATTATATATATTTCAAACAAACATGTAGAGAAAGGTCTGTTTTAGTCTGTTTGAAGATATTGTAGATGTTGAATAGTGATAGAAAAAAAAAGACTAGTTTCCAAGTACCTTATATGGAGACTTAGTCTTGACCTTGTAGGTCTCTAACATTTAGTCTTATTTCTTTGCTGCATGATAGAATGTGAAATTTTAATTTATAGTTGCACTCAGCTTTTACGGCCCATGTATCAAACACAAGGCCCGTGGGTCAAGTCAGGCCCATGACACAGTCCTATGCGACCAGCGAAATTATTTGAATTTTCTATTCTTATTAGCCTGTTTCACTCTGAGATGCACTACAGTCCCCAGCATGCACTGCAACATAGTGTGCGTTCTGACCCTATTCCCCCAACAACAATCTATGGGCCAAAAGAAACAGAAGATGCCTGGAAAAAGAAGGTGTCTAGTTCAAGCAAATAGGCAGTTAAAGGTGGTTGAGTTTGACACCCCTGTTTTACAGTACTGAAAGATACTGTTTTGCTTAAAGCTTGACCTATTACGCTCACAATTTTTATATGTCTTTTATTGCCCAGGGGGAGTTTTTCATGGTTCAGGATGTGAGCAGTAGAGCAGATGTCTTAAACACTACAGGAAGCTACGGGGCCCCTAACTTCCGCAAGGCCAAGGGAAAGCTACCCTCTTTATGGTATGGGCCAGCCCAGCCTAAATGGCTTTAAACAAGTCCTCCAGAAGCTGGAGAGTGAGGCTTATGAGGTCAGTGTCTAGGGATTAGACAAAGCTGGTATTGAAAATATGACACAATATCACTATGACTGTATATGCATTGCCAAGATTTTACTCACCTAAACGGAATGTCCTACGTGTACAGGAGGTAATATTCTTCTGTGTGCGGGAAGAGCCGATTGTCTTCCTCCGTCTGGATAAAGACTTTGTTTCATACACTCCCAGGAGGAAAGAGAACCTCCATGAGAACTTACACCACCTGAAAGGAGGGCTCAGAGCAGAGCAGCTGGAGCTTTCCATCAGGAAAGAGGCATGTCATAGAGTTGCCTTCATGATGTATGAGATATAGCTGCCATACTGAACTCTATCAGAGACATCATTGATGAGTAATTGCTTTTGTTAAATGTTTTGACTGCATATATGCTTGTTTTCCACTCTTTTCTTCAGTTGTGTGACTTTGCTAAGCTCAGTGAAAACAGCTTCTACGTTTATAATAACATTGAGCACTTTAAAGATGAGCCACAACATGTCAGGATCAGGTCTGAGGAGGACATACATGTGACTGAGGAGGTCTACAAAAGACCACTCTTCAGTTTGCCTTCTCACAGGTAACTTAATAATTAAAATAGTAATAAAATGAGGATATTAAAACACTTTTTCAGTATTTTTCATCATAATCTCATCTGTAGCTGAAACAGCTGTCCTTTGGCCTCTATTATAAGTGTGTTTTCTGTTCTGTAACTAAGTACAAGGAAACGTGTGGACATTATTGTCTGTGGTAATTTACCATACATTACAAATGTATAGAGCTGAAAAAAGCAGAAGAATTCCTTTAATAAATTTTCATTCCTTTAATAAATAAACATTCTGTTACTATTTTTCTGGCCAGACCACAATACAACTCTTTCATCTGCACATCTCAGCAATAATATCTTTTTGTTAAAGATATTACAGACTGCCACTTCCTGTAGAGGGGGCACCAATGGAAGAAGATTTTGTTGCCTTTATAAATGTGCTCAGGGTAAGACTTTGACACTGTATCATAATAATTTATATGATATTCTCATTAATATTATCTTAAAAAATACAAAGTGAATGCTTTGCACAAAGGATAAGGGTATTTGGAACTCTGATGTACAGTTTGATGTAACACAACCATGTTGTCTTCAATCAGCAAATTGCCCTCTCAGTATACCAATAATGCTATATAGCCTAGGCAGAAGGTAGTTAACCGCTGTGCTGCTGACTTTTGATCTTGATTTTTCTTAATGCTTTGGTGTCTCACCTTAGCATGATCAGATAGACTGCAGAGGTTTAAAAGTACAGGAAGCAAAGACGGGGTTGTTACACTGTGGTTAAGTCAAATACTTACATCAAGTAACTCCTTCAAGTACGCATTACAAAGTTATATTAAGAGTGTGTTATGACTCTCATAGGTGTAATGTTCTTTTCCATTGATGTAATTGTCAATTTCAGGCTTTTCCACAACATTAGCCTGAATGGTTGTCAGCTAATCTGATAAGTCATGTTACATCATGCTGTGTTGTATCAGTCTTTGGAAACAATAATAATATTAACATGGGTGCTAAACATTAAGTCAAGACTACATGAGAAATGGTAGAGATAATGCTTTGCAAGAAGTCTGTGTGCTGGTTTTCAGAAATGAGGCAATAAAGACAAACAGAATAAGGTTTTCTTTCGGTGGAAGTGGAAGATGTGTGTGTTGCCTGGCTTCTTTTAGGCTGATTCGATTTGAATATGATGCATTTGTTAATTTATCATTCATTCATTGGGCCTTTGCCCATGCACCAATAAGAAAACCAATGTTTTTCCTGCCTTGTTCATGCTATTAAAAAGAAGCCTTATAACCACACTTCGAATTAAAGCCACCGGTGCAGTGTGTCCTTCAGAAGTTGTTTTGCTACTGTCAAACAGTGTTTTCAATGATGCTCACATAAGCAAATAAAAACTTACAGTCCCATCTTGTGCTCTTTGTAGGAAAGCCCTGGTCTGTCTGTGTTGAGAGATGGCTCAAGGCCTTTGCCTGCACTGCTCTTCAGCTGCCAGGAGGGGGTGGGAAGAACCAACCTCGGCCTGATTCTGGGTGCATTGGTCTTATACCACCTGCAGGGGGCAGCATGTACCTCCAGGTCAGGGATTTTTCAGCAGTGTGAGCCAGTTTCCCAAACCAACATTAAACCTAATCCTAGACTAAAAAGAATTTCCAATGGTTTTCAGTGTTTCACCACTGACACTGCAGTTTAGTCCTAGGTTAAGACTAGACTTATTTCTTGTCTAGGAAACCAGCCCAGCGTGAACCCCGTAAGTTCTTTTGTATGTCCACATTCTAAGGGTTATTATTCAGTAACTACATGGGAAAAAGTGCAAATGACTTATTGAGATATTACTGTTAGAAAAGTGAAGAATGAAAATGTGGAGCTGCCAAAAGATGCTTGAATGTTAACAGGTTGGCGTTAAGGATCTTTCTCTGGATGAAATATAGATATGTAATCATATAATAAAGATTATTTTTTTATGCATCATTTACATCTGTTCTGCACATTTTGTCATTCAGAATGTCAAAAGAATGACTTGCAAATAGTGAATTAAATAGTCTCTCATTCTCAGGGAAGAAGACACACAGGTCAATCACCAGCCAGAGTTCCAAGTAATTCAGAACCTGATCAGTCGCCTTCCCAAAGGTCAACAAGTGCTTGACGAGGTATGACGAGACTAGCAATTTTATCAGCACTGGAACTCAGTTATGAAGCATCAGTACTTCTCAGTATGGTGTATGTAGAACAATGCTAATTTCAAGGCCACACATGCATTCTGTAACTCTGTTTTATGTTTCAGGTTGATAGAGCTATCGAAATATGTTCAGAAATGCACAACATCAAAGATGCAATATATGAAAATAAGAGAAAACTGGACGGTATTGCTGAGGATTATCAGATACAAGTGAGTGTAACTTATGATGTCCAATATTATTAACAGAAATAGATTTGAGCAAGCATTAGGAAATAGGCAGATACAGATGTATTTTCCTCTATGTGTTTGATCTATGAAGTGTATTTCTGTTCATTTCTTCTATACAGGGAAGCAGCACAAAGGGTTATTTCCTGCAAAGAACACTACAGAGCCTTGAGCGTTATTTCTACTTGATAGTGTTTAATGCTTACCTTCATGATCAGGTACTATATTGTAATGCATGTATATCATCATTTGGGAATGAGAAACTGCTCACTCCTCTTTTGGTGTATCTAATCAGCCCTTTCCTGTCTTTGCTCTGTAGTATCCGCAGCTGTTTGCCCAGAGTTTCAGTCAGTGGATGTGCATGAATGCATGGATCTACAGGCTGCTGGGCAGTATGGACCGTTCTGAGCTCTCAACTCCTGCCAGCCTCGTGACTGATGGATCCAGGATACTGGTGAGGACCATACTTAAGGGTTAAAGCTGTTCAGCTGATACAGAGCACTCTACACTCACAACAGAAATACACTGTGCTTACATATTTCAGCATCACTGATTTTTTTTTAAAAGGTTTCTAGTGAGTATTTGGCCCCAGACCTGCTTGGTACAGCCAAGGAAATGAGAGTGTCCAACTTTAGACGAGTTCTCAAGATGGCTGTGTACGGCATGGCACAGCCAAGCTCTGAGGTAGGACATGTTTTGCTATACTCTGAGATCTTCTCCTGACATTCTGTTAAGTGAGGAGCCAAAAACATGCTGTTTCTGTTTCAGGCTGTGTCTGTGGTGTTATCTTACCTAATGGATGAGAGACGGAAGCACTCGAGCATGCTGTGGGTCAATCTGCAGGAGGAGCTGGTCTTGGAAGGAAATGGACTGATGTTCACTCCTCGAGAGCCAATCTGTGTGGAGCAGCAAATCCCAGTGTGTGTGCAGAACATGCAACAACTTGAGGTACTTCCAGTTCATTTGTTTGTTACAGTCAACTTATTATGTCAGCTATGTCAGTCTCTGAACTCTTATGGGTTCAAATATCAGAACTTATCTGGGACAGGCCTTAGTACAGGGCTGCTCAAGGGGAGATCCACCAGCCAAAGTTGGACCTCAAGGACATTTGATTTGTACCACCAGAAGGCACACAGACAAGAAGAGATTTAGGGACCACTGAAGTGAAGAATGTATTTTTTGGGAGTTTAAACTCAAAAATCTGCTTTGTATGTAGGGAAACTGTGTCATTTAAAGTATTTAATGAATATTTTTGTAAACATTTGTCAACGAATACATAGAAAATTAAGCACACATGCACCACATATACTTGCAACAGGCAAAAATGTAAGACTAACAGTCTAACTGGAAGCTTTTGACCCTTGGCCCATCACAATGTAATAAGCTCTACAGTGAGTGCTTGGCACAGTGCTAAGGTCTCTCATGAGTTTATAATTTCAATCAAGACTAAAATGTCAACAATGCACCAAGCAGAAACTGAACTAACTTCAGCAGAAATAACTGTGACACAGGTGCTGGAGCTGGCATTAAAGGAGGAGATTCTGAGGTGTGAGAAGTGGCTTGAGGTTACTACAGAGCAGGAGAAGCAGATGAGGATGCTGAAAAGCTGCCGCACTCTTCAGGAGCTTTTTGCCCAGCAGAAGAACCTCCATCCTGGTCTCACTTACCATCGCATTCCATTATCTGACTGCTGTGCTCCAAAGGAAGAGGTAAATCAACACAATGCTAATTTGTGCAGAAAATGTCTTAGTACCGAAATGTCATTTTGTTAAGATGGGGTATTTTCATGCTATCCCAAGAGTCTGGTAACAATAATGTAATGTAGATGAAGTTCTGTGTTGCTGCTGCCCCTTTTAGGTATTTGATCAGCTTTTGGAAGCTATGAAGTCTACTCTTGCTGAGGACCCTGGCTCTGCGTTCATCTTCAACTGCAGTGATGGGAAAGACCGAACCACAACTGCAATGGTCATTGCCACTCTTACTCTGTGGCACTTCAATGTAGGTCATTCTGTCTACAGTGAAATATTTGTTGAATTATGTCCTTACATAGTGGATTGTCATTCACAAACTGAATCAAAACTGAGTAAAATACACTGTGTAATTAAGAACAGTATCAAATTGGCCAAAGATGGAGCATATAAACCATAATGACTTAACACTGATTTCTGCAGGGCTTTCCTGAGTGTGGAGATGAGGAAATTGTAAGTGTCCCAGATGCAAAGTACACCAAGGGTGAATTTGAGGTATGTTGTGGTATTAAATTATTATTTTATAGCTACTTTCAAACATGTTCCATATAGTTGGTTCATGCAAAATTTGAAGGGTAGTTACATTAGTGTTGGGGGGAAAAGGGCAATTTTGTGTTGGTGCTAGAGTTTGAAGATATACAAAGCACTGTATTTGTTTGCATTTTCAGGTGGTGATGCAGGTGGTCAGGGTGCTACCTAATGGCTACCGTATAAAGCGAGAAGTGGATGTGGCTCTAGACATTGTCAGTGAGACAATGACTCCCATGCATTACCACCTGCGGGAGATCATTATATGCTCATATAAACAGGTAAGTTTGTGTGTGAATTTCAGGATTGAATATGGATGAACTTTAATAACCTCCAGGTTAAACTTTCTGAAGTAAGACATTTCTTCTTAGATATAGTTTAGTCACCTCTCTTTTTTCTGTGTTTCAGGTGCTTTTGAAAATATGATCAAGTACAAGAATGTCCATATGCAATCTTGCTTATAAATTAATCAAAGCTCGCTCTCTAACAAAATAGGACATAAACTTTTGTTTATGCTGATCATTCTCATGTGCAGAGCTTCCAGTCTGATCATTATGTGAGAGTACAAATATGCAGGTACATGGTCAATGCGAAAAATAACAATTCAGAAGCCATGGTAGACCTTGCCATCATATTAGCCCTCAAAAAGAAGGAAGTATCAACAATTTCAATACTTTCTTCTTCCTTCCTTCTTAGATCAAAACAGCTAAGTCAGAGGCTGAATCTCAGCAGTTACGACTGAGGAGTCTACAGTACCTGGAGCGCTACATTTACCTCATCCTGTTCAACAGCTACCTCCACCTGGAAAAGAAAGACTCCTGGAGAAGGCCCTTCAGCCTGTGGATGCACCAGGTGCAATGATCAGTGTAGAAAAAAAAGGGTTGACAGCTCTTTCAAGAGTCTTTGGTATTTTAGATGTCTTAAGTCATAATTGTTTGAGCACTCTTATAGGCTTAACATGGAAGAGAAGTTTTTCTTCCTTTCTCCATCTAGCACAGGTTCATTCGAAGCTGCTGATTTTGCTTTATCTTGCATTACTAGCTTCTGTAGATGTTTTAAGAGGATTGCAAGTAAATACAACATTTTAATGAAAAAAATAGAAGATACTATTATTAGAAAACTAAGCATCCTTACAGCTTTAGCTGCAGAATTTCTGACAAAATTTTCCATTTTTGCTCTTTTTGGCAGGTGGCAGCCAGAGCTGGTATCTACGCCACCCTCAACCAGCTGGGTTTCCCTGAGTTTGAAGCTCAGAAGCACTCTCCACTGGCCAGTCTACGTTACCGCTGGCAACAACGGAGCGCTCATTCACTGCCTATCCGTGGAGACTTCATTTAAAGGAACACTAGTTTTTGACAGATAACAGAGAACTGGGCTAATTGACTATATATGACATCAATTTGTGTTATTCACAATTCTATTTTCTGAACCCCTCAAACTGAAATAAATTTACAACATTCTTTAAATTCAGTTTTAGTGTCAGGTTTCTTCCCACAAGTGTTTTTTTTTCCATGCCACACCAACACAGGCCTTATCAAGATCTGTATCGCCCCCTCTATCCACTAATACCTTTATTCTCTTTATCTGTGTGAAACTGGCTGTTCATTGGTCACTTGTCCTTCACAAACAGTAGTACAATCAAGTACAGCATCTCCTCACAACTGAGATGTCATCTGAATAGTATTTAAGTGCTAATAATACACTGATCTACTGCAAGGACAAGGTGGAGCTATTTCACTTTGCAATGAAATTGTGCTTAATGATCAAACAGGTTAGGGAATCCCTTTGAAACATTACACATATGGCCTAGAGAAGCTAATAGTTAAGTTAGCAGTGGTGCTTGGTTTTAATGGTAATTTTGGAAGTAGATAAATAAATATGGTCTCATTGTTCTCCATAAATTAAAATACGTGATCAGAACAGCGAGACAGGAACTCACGGTAGCTTGAACGCCAACCAAGTAAATCTAAATTTGCACTGCTATTATTTAAGTGGAAAGTAATTACTGAAAACATCTGAAATGTTTTGCTGTATTTGCAGACATATCTATTATCTGCTGACCTTTGTTTACATTGCTTTTAGATACAAATGCAGCTTTAGCAATAATTTATTTTCACCCAAAAACATCACATTATCGGGACTGTGTCCAGTTGTCTTTCTAATCTTGTTTTTAATCAAAGTCATGCCATGTTAATTATTTTCTTCTTATCCAGACAAAACGAGAACAAGTGTTGCTGAACCCGATGATTGTGTCCAGTAGTACAAACTCACTGTAATGTGCTGTGGGGAGATGGCAAGAAGCTAGCACAGGTTGTGCTTGACATTGAGGCTCTTGAGCAAGAATGGCTATCATGGGTTTCTTTCAGGAGGAACATCATAGCACTGAGAAAAATAATAAAAAATGCACAAATAATTATGTTGCGAAACTTATATTAACATGATTTTTTTCCATTAAATCATGAACCACTGGTCATTTATTATGAGATGTATTACAGAGTACAGCTGTACATAAAATTTGAATAGCATTGTGCACACCTAATGATGTAGCTGTGGTAAATGGGGAGATGTAGAACTTTATAATTACAAGCTAGAGGAAAACAACCACAGTGCTGTGCACTTTGGTTAATTACAAAAGATCTTTCATACTGTTGAATGTACAGCACTTCACTCATTGTAATACTCTACCCAGACTTGCACACTAGTATTTGTTGTGCCACTGTAGTGTTTTTATATCAGATGTCTACACATCTTTGAATTGTCCCTGTGGAGTGCTGTCTCTTCTCCTGGAATTGTCCATTTTCGTCTTCTTTGTTGAGCAGTTTTTCTTCTGTTCTGGGTCATTACTCGTGTAGATGTTCTCTCTCTGTAGAAGAAAGTCAAAACAGTAGTGCAATATTTAAAAAAAAATAAATAACCTTAGCATCATTTTCCTCTAACACTCTTCTCAATTGTAGATGTTATAAATCTTAACCATTGGTTCTGCCCCACAGACTATATACAACCATTCAGCTGTGAAGTGCATTGTTTATATTTTTATGACATTATATTGGTACTGGTTGGTATGTGTGTTATACTGTATGACAGATCAATGTATTGGAATTATGATATTATGATGACATACTATTCAAACACTCATAAAACATCTTACACTGCACCCCTTAAAGGCCTGTATGTAGGTCTACATTTCAGTTACTCTCATAACTGCATAACGTACACATTAGTTTCATGCTAGTTATTGGATCATTTATAGTAGTTACTAAATGATAATTCTGAGATTATGCAGTTTAAAATGTTAACTAGTCTTTGAATATGTCTCTTTATGTCTTTTTTCCATGTTACTGTACCTGTAAAGCAGAGGCTCTCGAATAAGCTGCAGACAGTATTGCATAGGTGTGTCAGAGAAGTTAACAGTGGTGACAAAGCCGATCGAAGAATTCATCTCTGCCACGGTCTCAGCTGTAGTGCTCATATGTGGGGTCTCTACTTCTGCTCTGGCACTGACAACTATTGAGAACCTGGGAAAAAGCACCAGATTTTTCTTCAAAAACAAAATACTCACAATGGTTCTCCTAAAAAGGTTCATATGGGGACAATCATTAGTGATGAATAAACATATTAGTAGTCTATTTAAAATGCTTGATCTTCTTTGATCTTCTGTTTTACTTTATGTTGGGGTTATAAATAGAATTTCACATACTCATTATTAACAGAGCTTCTTGCCTCCTGACCAAACAAGCTGAATTCCAAATCAGCTGACACATCGACAGAAAGGCCTCCATGAAAGAAAGCCTGAGTTTGTAGTCCAGACTGTAGGATTAGACTCTGTTGGAGGTAAGAGCAGACAAGTTTTTTCATTATGTTTAATTTTTTTATTTTTTTGGAAAAACTCTACCAAAAAATAAAAATGTGTAGGTGGGGCAGTGGCATTGGTGCTTGTAGCTTAGGGGCCCATGGTGATTGACCCCCCGACATCTTTATTGTCTCCTCTCATGCAATTTTATACCCATGGGAAGCTACAATAACTTATTAATAAACTTCAACAAACAATACCGAGCAAATTTTCTATTTCAATTTTTTTATTATTATTGTTTAGGACAATTTTCCTTCGAGTGGCCCAGAAGATCCTAGTTATGCCACATCAGACATCAGAATTGATTTTACCAAGAGTGTTATATTGAATATTGCATCTGGTATATTTTATGTGAGAAAGTCATTTAGTATAAATTACAATGCATTTCTCTAATGAAACAACAAAAGTCAACTAAACAAGAACTGAATGAATGTTTTTTTTTTTACCTGTCTCTGCTTGATAACTAGAATATTTCCAGAGAGAATATTCATTGGTCCTTCAGCTGCTGAGAAGTACTTGCTCATTAAGTCACCATAGCCCTGGAAGAAGACAATGGGTTGGATCTGCACACCCAGAAACATGGCAGACATTCCTGCCATTAGCTCCTCTTCCTCCGCTTCCTCAGCCAGCTCAGTCCCAAAGAGTGAATCAAAACCGCCCAGTTCTAAAGAAACCTGAGAACACAGAAAAATCCAAATCAGCCTTTCTACTTCTCCATATTCCACTCACTACCTGACAAATAGGCTGCAACTATAGAAAGATTGATAGATATTATAAGATGTTGTTAACTTAAGGAACAATATGTCAAGACAGCTTTGATTTTAAGAAGATTATTTGTATTGCTAATTATATTATAAAACAAGATTCCAATAGAGGAAGTACGCCACCAAAAAACCATACTATTGTTTATATGTGAATGCAACCATCATACATCAATCATCAAACCAGTGAACAACAGGCTTTGCTTATTTTCATAGGCAATTTTAAACCAATTCACTAATTCAGCATTCCCTGTATGTTTCAGCAATAATTTTAATGACTTATTAGTCAGTAAAAGTGAACATGAACATGACTGTGGACTGTAAACCTGCAATGAGTGCAAACTTCCTCCTCTGCTTTGAGTAGAGAAGTGGCTATTGCTTTGCTTCAGGGCTCCGGTTTCAGAAAAGAGGAAATCAAAATCATACGATGTGACCGTGTCCTTCGTCTCTGTAGAGAATTTAACACATTAAAATACAAAATATATTTCTGAGAAACGTATAATAAAGCGTTAATGTCATATTTTATCATTTATGTCCAGAAACAGTGTAATTAAGTATACTAGATCTAATAAAACAGAATCGATAAATTCATAAAAAGTTCAAGTTTACAATCTAGAGAGGAAGTTTAAGTATTTGATACCTGCTATCGGTCCAGTATATGACGAAGAACAACCAACTCGCCCAAGGTGGAAATAATTGTTCAGCTTTGAATCTTTCAAAACATTAGTAATTATATTTCTAAGGAGAGAGATATTTCGGTAAATATGACAAGCTCTTTTTTGTCAAAATGGTCAAATATGTTGATATACAAAGTTAAAAAAAAAATGAAAAACAACATAGAGAGCACAATACATTTTTATTACAAAGTCCAATATTTATAATTGTGCAATATGATATACACACTCACTGGCCACTTTGTTAAGTAAACTTACCCTTACCCCTACACTCATTGTTTTATCAGGTCCATATCGGTGTACTTTTGATTATTACACATTGTATTCAATGTGTTTCTCTGTGGATCATTCTCAGCACTGCAGTGACACTGACATGGAAGTTTTTCAAACAACTCAGAATAGTTCACAACCAGAAATATCCAGCATACTGTGGCCAGAAACTGACCACTGATGAAAGACTAGAGGATGACTAACACAAACTGTGCAGCAACAGCTGTATGAGCTATGAGCTAACTTTACATCTATTTTACATCACCAACAAGGCAAATGTGTCTAGTACAGAGGACTGTAAGTGGACACAGTGTTTAAAAACTTCCGGAAGCACTGCTATATCTGATCCACTCATACCAGCGTAACACACACAAATACGCCACCACCAAGTCAGTGTCACTGCAGTCCTGAGAATGATCCACCATCCAAATCATACCTGCTATGTGGTGGTCCTATGAGGGTCCTGACCATTAAAAACATGGTAAAAATACACAGAGAAATAGATAGACCACAGTCTGTAATTGTAGAACTACAAATCACACCTAAATGGTAAGTGGACCTGATAAAATGGACAGTGAGTGCAGATACATGACAGGTTTCTAATATTAGATGCACCTAATAAAGGGGCCAGTGAGTGTATAAGCGTATAGAGCACAAGGAGTTCTAAAAGCAGTAGGGGATAATGGGGCACAAACTAACACGGGGTAAAATGTAACATGTATGTTTTATGTAGTTAAACAGGTTCTAATATTCCCATATAGCAACATCATCTGTAATTTCTGACAGACAGATATTTCTCAAGATTCACCCTGAAGACTTTTCTGGTCATCATCTTTTTTTTTTTAAATTATTGAGTCATGTAAGTTGGGTATAAGTCACAGAATTTACACCTATATTATTTTATTTGTCTT